TTGTTCTCTGAAATAAAATTTGATCAGTTTAAATGCATCTAAACATAAAAATAATGTTCAGCTCCATTATACATTATAAAATATTCTTTAAATTTTGTTCATTTTAACAAAAAGTTAAAATTCGGACAGAACTTATGGGATGACCTGATACATTTCTGATAGTTTTCAATGTATTGATTATTTTACGAGAAATTTTAACACCACTAATTTAAAACTTTAATAGATGCTGTTTGAAATGTTAAAAAACCCTATATAATTCTATAAGACTATAACATAGATTGAATGTGATTTCACTCCAGCCTTCCAAGGAGGAAAGGGAAAACCTACCATGAAGGTTAACGTTGTCAAATGGTGCTAGTTGAAAATAAGCAAATCATTTAATACCGATTCAAAGTAAGACTTCAGCTTCTGTATTTTATTTTGACAGTTTTATTTTTTTTAAATGTTTTTTGTCGTCGGCCACTCGAGACATATCGCCTTGACGTCACTCGTCTAATAAATTGAAATTCACATTGATGGTGATCAAGAAAGATAACACTCGAAAAATCCTTGTTTATTGTTAAGGAAATTTTGAAAAATATAGCTAATAAAAAAGCGATTGTGATAGCTCCCCGAGAGGAATAGGTTATTTTCTTTGTTTTCTTTTACGGGTCGATAGGATGAGGGAGAATTAATATTGTCATCGGAGATAAAACAAAAAATATGTAAAGTTATAAAAGCTCCATTAGACTATCGTATCGAACAAACGCCTTCACTCAATCTGGTCATTATCTATCTATCTATCTATCTATCTATCTATCTATCTATCTATCTATCTATCTATCTCAGCTTGTTCATTATCTATCTATCTATCTATCTATCTATCTATTTCTATCTATCTATCTATTTCAGTTTGTTCATTCTATCTATCTATCTATCTATCTATCTATCTATCTATCTATCTATTTGTTCTTATCTATCTATCTATCTGTTTGTTCATTATCTATCTATCTATCTATCTATCTATTTATTTCAGTTTGTTCATTATCTATCTATCTATCTATCTATCTATCTATCTATCTATCTATCTGTTTATCTATCTATCTATTTGTTCATTATCTATCTATCTATCTCATCTTTCTTCTATCTATCTATCTATCTCAGTTTGTTCATTATCTATCTATCTATCTATCTATCTATCTATCTATCTCAGTTTGTTCATTATCTATCTATCTATCTATCTATCTATCTATCTATCTATCTATCAGTTTGTTCATTATCTATCTATCTATCTATCTATCTATCTATCTCATTCTTTCTTTCTTTCTTTCTTTCTTTCTTTCTTTCTTTATGTCTGTCTCTCTTTGTTCCTATCTATATTCGCTTAACTATAGTGATATTATAGACAGAACAGAGCAAGTGGAAAACTAGTAAGACGAGAAAAATGTTGTTGGTGAACTAAACAAAAGTGCATCGTGACGGAAGTCTGTAAGCGAATCACGAACTTGGGCGTCTTACCGTGGTCAGTAGCGGGAAACCCAGAACAGCATTTGGACTGAGGTATCCAGCAAACAATGAATGAATGACAGGGAAGAAACGTTGGATTGAACGAAATAAATAGAGCAAACAAAAGGAAATAAGAAAAAATAAAATAAAATAAAAGAAGGGAATTTAGAAAACACAAAAGAAGAAATCAAAAGAAAACAGAAAAAAAAAGAACCATAAAAAATACTCCGCGTTTCTTCTGAGCAAAATGTTATTGGATATTATTTTCGTGCACGGCTTGGTTAAGTGGAGAACAACCTTGTTTGGGTCGACGTTCGATTGCCTTTCTTATGCATTTATTTCGAGTTTTTGTTGATTTTGTTCCTACTCTCCTTGATTGCTTTCCATCTTTCTTTCTTTCTTTCTTTCTTTCTTTCTTTCTTTCTTTCTTTCTTTCTATTTTCTATAATTTTCTTTTTTATGTTGGTTAGGTACAATTTTATTTATTTATTTTGCTTTCTTAATTTTTATTTGTCTTTAGAATTTTCTGTCCTCCGAATTATTTAGAATTTTATTTTCTTAGCAATTTAGACGAGAATCTTAATTCTTTTTGTTTTTAACGTAACTGTTTTTAGCTAATGCTTTCTTTATCCATTCTCTCGTGTAATTTTAAGTTACTCGCGTGTAAAACGTTGGTCGTTCAAAAATACACGATCCATTCATAAAAATAATTAAAAAAACAACAACAATAGAGGAATTACACAGTTAAGAAAGGTCGTAAAATCCATCGAGTGAACAAATGTAAAATATCAATAATTAAGATACAAGCGTAAATAACATTTGGATTTTAATGTCAATGGCTCTGAAATTTCTTTTTTCTTTCTTTCTTTCTTTCTTTCTTTTGTTTGCTTTCTTTCTATCTTTCTTTTGTTCTTTCTCCTTTTTGCTTTCTTTCTTTCTTTCTTTTGTTCTTTCCCTTTTTTCTTTCTTTCTTTCTTTCTTTCTTTCTTTCTTTCTTTCTTTCTTTCTTTTTTAACTTCTTTCTTGTTACTTTTTGCCTTCTTTTGTTTGTTTGTTTGTTTCTTTCTTTCTTTTCATGACTTTTTCTATTTCCATCTCCCTTTCTTTGAAACTCCTCTTTTAAAATATTGTTTTTCTTTCTTTCTACGCGTCGATATTGTTTTTCCGACCAGAAAACGTAGCACTCTTCTTAAAATCTCATGTAATCGACTTGTCTACTTATTGGACAAGTCGATTATAAGAATGGCTCACACAAATAACTGCATTTAAAACTTCTTAACCTTGGGCAAATGCAGTTATTTCCTGATATTTCCATCAAAATCCCTATTTACTCACCTTATCTCTTTTCAATGCTTCACGAATGCTTGCATTCACAAAGCCTACCGAACAGTCTTTCAAGAAACGTATATGTCTTTATCGATCTGTTAATCCGAACACCTTGGAATGTAATATTTGCAAATAGATGTATCGATTTCCATCCGGGTGATGATGTAGGAAGTAAGCGACAGATTCAAATACTGAATTTTGTTTCACTTAATGGTTTTCTGTCCAAGAAAACAGATTGGGGGGCGATAAGCTTAAAAACGGGTGTATTTTTCTGCAAAAATCATACAGTTTTGACTCTTGATTGCAGAGGAGTATAAGAATGATTTTGCTTCACATATCCATCTGAATTGACCGAGAAACATTCTAACAGCCAATCTGCCTTATGCAATTGTATGTTTTTATTTATCACTTGAGGACTTTCAACAGCAGTAACATCTAAAATGGATAGTCATGTAGCTTGAAGAGAGAATAATGTCATAGTCATAACGCTGACGTATGACGCTACTCCAAACACAAGGAAGGATGGAACCAACCATCAGTAGAGAAAAGGGCGCCTTGCAACTGGACTCGATAAATCTATTTACCTGAAAATTTCTTTTAGGAGAAAGATTTTATAAATTTTAACCGACAGCATGTCTAAATCCTAGTTCAATGAATGCCAAATATTTCCTTAATAGATACTCTCTAATATTATCATTATCAGATATATAATTACGTAATTGCATACTTAATATATGACTGCAAATTGGGTTATATTTCAAACAGTGTTGATTCTCGTATCAGGTGTCTTTTTAAACTTGCCGAACCAGCAACCCACTCTGACAAAAATGAATAATATATAATAATAAAATTGTAAAAAAAAAAAAAAAAAACGTTATTTATATAATTTCCAAAGATAGCAGTTGATTTGAGGGCAAGAGCTAGGAGAATTTAATACTCACAAGACATAATAAAGTAAATGAAGTGTGTATATCGTGAGTAAGAGAACAAGTACCACAAAAAGAGATATGATAATGAGGTAACTTTTACTTAGATCAATAAGATATTAGAAGTTGTGGAGAGCCATGATTGCCAATGTTTTGAAAGATTTTGACACGTGAAAGAAGAAGTATCTGATTTCAGATTAATTTGTTTTAAAAGTTTCTGTTTTTTGGACCTTCTTCAGGTTATTGAGAACAAAATATAACAAAAAAAGAAAATGTATTCAATTAAAAACAAATCTGTATATTGAATACGAGTGTAATTTGAATCATTACCGGTTGTTAGTTAAAACAGATAATTCTAACAAGATGCCACGGGTGACAAGCATTACGTATTCCATGTCTCGCTTGAACTACGTTAATTAATCATTGTTTAAGCGAGACATAATAGACGCCTTGCTATAAGAGGCGTACTCAGTTTGAACACTGAGAAAACAGATATCAGATTATGATTAGTATTAGTCCGGGTACTTCGATGATATCAAGGTACGATCGCACCATCTATCATTATTCATGTAGACCGCTTTCCTATAACCTTTGTCACGGCAACATATATATATATATATATATATATATATATATATATATATATATATATATATATATATATATATATATATAAATTAAAGTAAGCTCTGTTCCAGCTTCAAGAATTCGCTTGAAGATGGAACAGAGCTTACTTTAATTCAATTTAATTCAAATCATTATATTGAAGTTTTCAGCTCTTGTTTGAAATATGAGACCTCTTATGTAGCGTGTTGGAATCATATTTTTAAACAATAACACATTTCTAATAGCATTTTTCGGATTACAATACATCTATTTTCGTTGTCCGCTTATTACTCAGAGTAAAAACAAGAACAAAATCTATTCCATACCTGAGGATGTCTATAGAAACAGACGAAAGATTGTAAAAATAATAAGAACTTATGCAACAGAAATTTATAAAACAAGGATCTTTTCATTCATAAACAGGTTCGTGGTTTTTGTATATTATTTGAATTGTTCGCGATGATGGATTTCTCGCCAATTAAATCATTAACCTTTGTATTTGTTTTTTGTATGAATAATTCATGAATTTGTAAATTAATTGCACCTTTATTGAAATATATATATATATATATATATATATATATATATATATATATATATATAATTATAACAACAAACCAGAAATTCGAAATCTTAAGTCCTTGCTTACATATTAGAAAATTTTTCGAAAGGACAAATGAAGCTGAATAAAAAAGTATTTACCACCCCAATGCATTTACAATACCCCTTCTTCTTCTTCTTCTTCTTCTTCTTCTTCTTCTTCTTCTTCTTCTTCACATCCTCCTCCTCCTCCCTTTCTGTTACACTCTATTTATTTTTGAAAATAATTTAGAGTTCTTTAGTTCTGAGGATATAGTAAGGTTGAAACCAAGGTAGCGGATTCAACCTGCTACCTGATAGTTAAAGTTTAATATTATATATATATATATATATATATATATATATATATATATATATATATATATATATATATATATATATATATATATATGGCCTGACGATTGCGTCAAGCATGAAACAGACTGTCACCTCTAAGTGTTGACTTCAATGTTCACTTTTCTATTTACACACGCTCTATTTCTGATATTGACCACTTTATCCCATAAATATAGCATACCATAAGATTATATTTCTTTATATATATATATATATATATATATATATATATATATATATATATATATATCAGATAAAGAAGAAATAAGAAACGTTTATGAATCTAACATGTTTCACATTTATTAAAGCTTCATAAGTGTAAAACAATTAGAAAGATATTCTGCCATTTTGTACTTCTGTGTTATTTGGGTTTCATCGTTCCATAATTTTTCTCATGCTTTCGACTCTTTTAGTATAATTCGTGGTGTTCCGAATTCAAGGAAATTAACGGATTACAAATATATCTGAAAAACCGTAAATATTGCTATATGTCGTCAATGACACATGGCACAGTGGCGTTAGTTAGATGCAGTGTCAGGACCCAAAGCGTGTGAGTTCAATACCCGGTTAAGGCAGTGGAAAACTTTCAGAGGGAAATTAACAGGAGATAACTGATAACTGACATCCATTAAACATGGCACGTGGAACTAGAACAGTCTACCCCAGTGAGCGAAATAAAGGGTTCAGTTCGACATTCCAACCACCTGAAGAAGACCGGAGCGTACAACGGCCGAAACTTTGTAATAAATATGGCGACAAAGATGAGGACAATAGTCCGAATAATGTAAATAGTGTACATAATACCCCATCTCAGAAATATGGACAGATACTGAAAGGTCGAAACGTTGTAATAAATATGGCGACAAAGATGAGGACAATAGTCCGAATAATGTAAATAGTGTACATAATGCCTCATCTCAGAAATGTGCACAGATAATGTATGTGAGTGTTTAAAAATTCTAGTTTGTCAATGTGGGATTCAAAAATATAGTTTTACAGTTCTGCACTTTTTTTTATGTTTGCGTAGATCTGATGACGGTTATGGATACACACCAATTTATACATTGTGCAACTGATCTTGAGTTTTGGGGAAACCTAAACCATGAACATGACATTGTAGTAAGCGTTAGTCCCTTCCTTTTCTCAAATTTTGTAGAAGAATAGTTTTGGCGCTCTTCCAGCTCGCACCTGAATAAGTTAAACAGCGCCCTGGGTGCGTAGCGTTTTGGAGCAGGCACTTAACAATCACAATATCAAAGAGGATTAGACAAAAGATGTTCAAAGAGTTGCAAAGCTTTTCACTGTTGCCTCGAGGCTTTAATTGAATTTAATTGATGCCACCTTAAATAAGTTATGCATTTTGATATTATCTATGTGTTTTTTATATCCTTTTGTATTAATAGACATGTTTATGGATAATAAACGAATTTCGAAAGTCACAAGACATTGAAAGTTTTGCTTACCTCTATCTCTTCTCCTGTCTTTGTCTCACTGTCTGACCGGCTTCCTCTCTCTATCCACACACACACACACACACACACACACACACACACACACACACACATATATATATATATATATATATATTTCACAAGTGGTTGGAATCATCCAAAGGAGTTAAAAATTATCGAAATAAATTGATTACCAACTTTAATGTGATTTGAAGTGTTTTTTACTATATAAATAGTAATTCTACTATATAAGTAAATAAAAATAAATAAAATAAAAAAGCAAAGTCAAGCAAAATAAATTAATCCAAATGAATAAAGTAAATAATAAACAAATTAACAAACCACTCCCACCAAAATAATCGCTAGAATAGACTACCCACAATGTAATACTTATACTACTGCCAGTGAATACCCGAGGAACAAAGCAAGACCGTCGGATCCAGAGTGAGAGAGTAAAAGGTTGTAGGTAACCGGAAGAGTGAGGGTGAGGTATCAGAGTTGTAGGAGTCACAGTGAGCGAGCACGTAGACTCAGTAAGAAGTCATACAGCGATACTTCAATACCAAAGACTGTATAGATATTTTGCTACTAACCCGTATTCCCGGAACTACTAACCTGCTTTACCAGTTTGTATTATTACGTTAATACATTATTTTCATATCTTCATTCCTGGCGTTTGTTATTTATTGGTACCGGATTTCAACCCGGAATCCACAACAGTAACAGACTACCCACAATGCACCACTGATTGATATATATAAATAGTCGAG